TTGTCATGTCCTTGTTGCATGATATATTGTGACTTTTCCCCCTTCACTAAACCAGAGGTGGGCATGACTCATCCAGCCTGTGGGCCATGAGTTTGATACCCCTGTTCTAGTCCCTTTCACCCTCAAAACTCATTGGCTGAATTTGGGCCAGCCCCTCCCTCCAAGTACAAGAGCCAATCAGGTGGAGGGGCTGGACTAAACATGGGAAACCCAGGTTCTAGTCCCCTTTCAGCCTCAGAAGCTCATTGGTTGAATTTGGGCCAGCCCCTCCCTCTAAACCCAAGAGCCAATCATGTGAGATGGATTAAATATGAGGAACCTAGGTTCTAGTCCGCCTTCAGTCTCAGAAACTCATTGGTTGAATTTGCGTCAGACCAGTGGTGCAATTCAGCCAGTTCTATCTGGTTCGGGCGAACCAATAGCGATGGCAGCAGAAGACTCCGCCCACGCACCCTGATGTCATCACGTCTTGTTTTTGACGCTCTGCGCATGTGCACTCCCATTTGTGAACTGGTAGCAAAGATAAGTTGATTTCACCCCTGGGCCAGACCCTCCCTCTCATCCCAAGAGCCAATCAGATGGCGAGGGGAAAGGGTGGACTAGGAATGGGGAGACTGAGGTTTTAAACCCCCCCCCCCCCACATACACACTTTGCCTTAGAACAGTGTTTCTCAACCTTGGCAACTTGAAGATGGGGAATTGGCTGGGGAATTCTGGGAGTTGAAGTCCAGACATCTTCAAGTTGCCAAGGTTGAGAAACACTGTTTTAGAATCTTCCTAGGAATCTTTGGACTAATCCATCCTTCTCAGCTTTAGACTGGAAAATCGAAAGGTGCCCCAGAAGTGGATAGGGGTTAACCACTTCTGAAAATTTAATTGAAATTAAAGTAATTCAATTTAGGTACCAACTTCCCGGCAGTGTTTACATCGAATAAATTAAATTAAAATGTAGTCAAGACAACTGCCTGCACCTGTTGACACAGTCACCAGAAAGCAAGGCTGCCTCAAAAGACTACAACAACAACAAAATGGTACTTGCAAAACAAACAAACAAACAAACAA